CCAGGTTACTGACTTCGATGTAATCAGCCAACTTTATGAAGGCTAGTCTCTATTCTACAGAGTTAGCCAGGTTACTGACTTCGATGTAATCAGCCAACTTTATGAAGGCTAATCTCTATTCTACAGAGTTACCCAGGTTACTGACTTCGATGTAATCAGCCAACTTTATGAAGGCTAATCTCTATTCTACAGAGTTACCCAGGTTACTGACTTCGATGTAATCAACCAACTTTATGAAGGCTAGTCTCTATTCTACAGAGTTACCCAGGTTACTGACGTAAGAGAATTCCCTTCAGGATATATATACCTACAACAAATACAAGACAAAGAGCGACATGAATGGAAAAACAAACAAAACTTGGCATACATTGACCTCCTTGTTCCAGTAACCCACGACCTCCTTGTTCCAATAACCCATGGTTTCTCGTCCTCTTCCCTATAAATAGAATTTTCAAGCTGAGTGTGCTTTATACACAACCGTCCCGCTCACAAACCAAAGGGGTTCAGGACAATTATCCTTAAATTTGATATAGGCTGATCAGTAGAGGAATAGTTAGTTACCAGCAGTTGCCGTTAGAAGGGCTTTTTTTTAAAGGATAACAGGACTGACTGTCCTGTCATGACGCGATCATGTTCATGTCTTGAACCTTCCATCCACAGCTTCGCATGCTAACCACTAAAGAGCGTCTGGTTCGTGACATTAATTAACAAAAACACAGTTACTAGTTGTGCTACAACAGTAATAACACACCTCACATGTAAAAAGGTTCTTAACTGGTAAAAATCGTCACAAGTGAAACGTTTCGAATCCAGTAAAAGTCGTGATTCTAAAGCAAGCGAAATCTTTAAAGAAAAGTAAGCCTAAATATATAATAAGTAAGCTACTAAATTTCAAGTTTTCCTTCTGATTCTTCTGCTCTACATGAAAATAGTTTTGTATGACTGTTTGAGAATACTTCACGATTCACCCAATTAACTTTGGTTTAAAAAAACAAATCCATTTTAAACTTCTGAGTTCGTAGGTTTTCGTAGGAGTATTATAAAATTATTTTACATGTATTTCCAATCATCACGGTAAAAATTGGTAAGCAAAATATTCAGTAATTCTCCCGCGAATAAAACCATCAGGTAAACTTACATTTTATTACTGCGACAGCGGCCATCTTGTGCGTCCCAGTAGAGAATTTGTTCTGATAATGTCAGGTAGTTACGAGGTGGAGTGTGGTATCCGTCTCCAATTCGGCTTCTCCTCCGCAAGGTGGCACGTTCCAGGGAAATGGCCCTTGGCGTTCTTACCAATTTCTTCTGATCCGCACCCTCCGTTTTGTCCTCCGGTGACCTCAATCTTGACCTCGAGGTCCTTCCTACTATCTTGCTCTCAGGAGATGACGTAGATGCGGTTTCGGTCAAATTAAAAACTTGTTGATCGCATCCTCTGTCTATCCGCTTTATTTTCCTATCTGGAATCAATTTCTGTCTACTGCACCGTTTAAAATCTTTATGCCTTTCATTCCTGAAGTTTCCTGCATCGTTCTTAACTATGTCATCTTTAAAATCTTTGTGCCTTTCCTTCCTTAAGTTTCCTGCATCGTTCTTAACTATGTCATCTTTAAAATCTTTGTGCCTTTCCTTCCTTAAGTTTCCTGCATCGTTCTTGACTATGTCATCTTTAAAATCTTTGTGCTTTTCCTTCCTGAAGTTTCCTGTATCGTTCTTAACTATGTCATCTTTAAAATCTTTATGCCTTTCCTTCCTGAAGTTTCCTGTATCGTTCTTAACTATGTCATCTTTAAAATCTTTGTGCTTTTCCTTCCTGAAGTTTCCTGTATCGTTCTTAACTATGTCATCTTTAAAAT